TTTCTATCAATGGTACCGCTATGGGTGTTTCAGATGGCTGAATTCAAGTGAAAAAGATGGTACCGCTTGAGTGTTTGAGATGGCTGGATTCAAGTGAAAAAGGTGATGGTACCGTTGGGGTGTTCGATTTGAGATGACTGGATTATTCAAGCGAAAAAAGGAAAAAAGAAGTGATCATGCTTCTTCCTTACCTTTGAATTTAGACTAATTATTACAAATTGAGACTGTTTTTTTGTATATTGGTACGAATTTCTTGTGTGTGTGGATGATTTTTGTAAGATTTTATGCTTGATATGAGCAGTAATATGAAAGCAAAGCTGTCATTTTACATGTTTTTACTACAAAAACTTTTGCCAAAAAAAAAACATGACATCTAAAATATAAAAACCAAAAAACAAATGCGATCTTCAAACAAAAAACTAGGTAGATATGCAAATAAATAGTGAATATTATAAGTAAATAGGTCCCCAAGTTGAAAACATAATTGCCAGTAAAAAGAAAAAATCCAGAAATACAAAAGAAAGCATACTGACTAACTAACCACCATGATACATATATAGAGCAAACTGAGTTGAGCGGAACATACTTATTCAACCATTGAGCGGAACATAGCTCTCGACAAAAGGAAAAATGTGCGCCACCAAAGGAGTATGCACACCGCGTATCGTCTCCAACTTGCTCGTCGCACAATCAAAAAGCATCATTTTAGCATTCAAGCCCAAATAAATCAATTTATCAGTCCCAACCAGGCTATATAAACCTACAGCAAGAGGGAGGGTGAGCGAGGACACCAGGGACCATGAGCCATCCCAAACCCAAATTTCCAAAATCCACAAAAGCTTGCTTGTGTCCTCATACGACTTAATCATAGCACCGAGCAACCCACAATATTCCACGAGCTCGAATCTAATATAATATCCATTTCTTTCATTGAACTTGTCGCTTGGGGGCGCAGGAATAACAGAGGAAGCAAACTTCTCAGTAGCAAAGTCGAAAGAGACGATAAACCAGGGATCAGATTGATTTAACCAGTAATAAGTGCCGTTCACGTGAACACCAGAGTGTCGTGGAATACGTAAAGGATGAACGACACTGACTCGTTTCCACGAATTAGTTCTGAGCGAATAAAGTTCGGCCATCACAGCTACAGTGGGTGCGCAATCTTCAGCCCTAGTCTTGCGCTCCTTGAGCAATCTTATCACCTTGTAATCCTCAGAAGCCGAATCAAACCCAAAACCAAAATAACCGTGGAACATTTTCACAAACCTGTATGTGCAAGGTGCCAAAAAGTTGATAGGATGATTTGTTATATGAAAAAGATCCACTTGAATCTATTTTACGACTCCCGTTACAGAATCATTCCGTCGACGGATTATCAACATGTAACCTTCGGGATAGTTGATCTAACAGTTACGAACCCCGACAGAATGATTCTGTAACGGGACCGTAGCATTTTCCTAAGACTAGACCCATGTTTCACCATAAAAATTACTACTTTAACAAATGGTTTCACCATCATTTCAACCCAACTTAAAAGAAAATAAATAAATTGTGAGTATCACAAGTATTGTCACCTGGAGTCGAAGGATGAGGGTGCTGGAGGAAGGGTTTTGACTTGCCCTGTGGTCGGGTTCCACAAAACCTCCCCGGGAGGCTTTGTACCTTTTTCCCGTGCCAAAAGCAGCAACAAACCATTGCAAATAGATGAGGGATGGTGATGATCCTTGGCCAGTGGATATATTAGATCATTCTCGAATTTAGGATCTTCATCATTGATCGAAATTATCGAGTACTGTAACAATCCTTCGCCGATTTTCCCTGATGCTCCAAGCAGCGCCACCAAAAACTTGCTCTCGTCCTTGATTATAGGACTTCTGTACAAATTTATGAAGGATTTGAATTTTGCTTTGGCGTGGGTAAAAAGATTGAGGGACATGCTTCTCAATTAGTATTATTATTATTCCTCCTTGCGCTGCGCTGGGAAGGAAGAATATGACAAGCAATCCTATATTATTGGATTTGGGTTGACGGACCATTAGGCCCAACCCAATAGGATTGGACCAGTTAATGACAAGTAGCGAATTCGTTTAAAATAGAGAGAATTACCCCAAGAAGATATCTTCCCAAATACGAGCAGCAGTGGGATTATGGGCCTGTCGAGCACACATGTGAGTCCCTCGAGGATCCCTCAGAGTACAATGCCAAGCTCGACCAGGTCCTCACTCTTTTGGCATCCCAAGCGGCCCGTAAGAGCATCCTTGAGTCCAGAATCGAGGAACTTGCGGAGCGCGTGCAAGCCTTAGAGAATCACCAATGTCACTCCCGAGCCCACCGCTCAAGGCGAGTCTACACATATAAATGAATCTCGGGAGGCTGTTATGTCATACGATGAAAAGCTTGACCTTATCCTTGCTCGTATATCTACACTTACCACTCGAGATGTGGACATTGAGCTCGGATGTGCTAGACTGAGCACGAAGATGGAGACCCTTACAGCACATACCAACTCAATTGAGGCACCAGTCGAAGACCCCCACTTTAGGCTTGATACTCGAGCCCGTACGTTGAAGCAAATGTGTGAGGCCGAAGAAGAGGATGATAATCCCCAGCGAGACGTTGATGATATTTCAGAGGAGGAGATCCACGGGCTTGATTCTCAAGTCCCTCCTTCCATCTCCGAGTTTGAGCACCCGTCTCCGAGGCCGCTACACTGTATTACGAAGTGGGTGGGAGTTAGTTCGACTTGCTCCACAGATGAGCTTATACTTCCGGAGGTTGAAGACAGAGCTCGTGTGGAAAAAGCTATGCGTCTAGAGTTGGGGATTGCTCGTGCCCGAACCCACTTCACCCAGAATACAGCCACTCGGACCCACCATGCCCGCCTTCTAGGCACACTGCCCGGACTACCACTTCTCGAAAGTACGAAGGCGTGGCATGACCGTCACTTCTTCCTAGATCCCGGTTGAATTTTTCTCAGGTTTCGTCAAGCTAACGACGTTAAATAAGCGCTTCTTGGGAGGCAAGACAAGTGATTTACTACTTTCTAGATATTTTCGTTTTTGCTTTTTTTTTTTTAGTTTTATTCTTTGAATAATGGGAGTTTTGGAATTCTGTGTCTTTCTCGGCAGGTACCATTTATGAGCATGATCAGAAGGAGTATCGAGGTTATGAGCTGAGCATAGACGAGCGTCTTGCACATGGATACTTATCCTCTTCGAGGCACTTCAGTTTGCACACCCTTTTTTTCCCTCTCCTTTTTATCTTTCTTGAGTTTTTCTTTCCCTTGTCTTTTCTTTTGTGTTCTAGTGGTAGTTGGTGGGATTGGTTCATTATATGAGATTGTCGGGTCCTTTTTATGTGACTTCCTGTTTTGTGTTGAAGCAATGAGATCATTGCCTCATTTAAAGTGTGGGGGAGTTTATTTGGATTTTGCATGCTTATGTGGTGGCCCGGTCTAGTTTTAGAATTTTGTGTTGTTGAGCATGTGATATTGGTGAATTATATGAATTGTTGATGAATGTTTGATGAGATGGGGAAGTTGTGATGACGGACTGTGATCATTGCCTCTCGGTATTTGCGTGATTGCTTTGAGTGACATTTATTTACCTTGTGAGGTTTTGATCCTTATTCTTTTTCTTGTGAGATGTTGGTCATATTCATGAATGATTAGAACTTGCCTTGAGTTTATCTGAAAGAAATCGATTAGAGTTTGTGTTGATGTCGAAAATCGGACGATCAACTGTTAAATAAAAGTCGAATTTCTTGAACAAAATTAGAGAACAAAATGATGAAAAATGTGTGTTTTTATTGTATTATTTGGAGAGCATATTTTTTACTCTCTCTTTGTGTTTTGTAGGGAAAAAAATGAAAATGGAGAAGACCCCCCCTCTCCTCTCTCTTCTCACATATATATACATGGCCCATTTTTCAAGTGGGCTAATAAAAAATGGTTCACAATTATATAATGTAAAATAATCATCGTGGGGACCCGGTTATGACTTCTGACGGCTTCGATCGGCAGCTCCTGGCTAATCAGCCTCGAAAACCTGTTTGTGTATTCATGTATTTTCGGCTCCTTGGTTATCGGGTCGCTATATATTATATTACTTACCATTTATTTAATATGAGCCAAATTGGGTATCAACAGTTTGAAATTGCGAAACTGATTGAGGCGTTTTGTTTGATTAGCTCTTTTTAG